GTCAGTGTAAGAATGGCTTCCAGGGGGTCTCCACAGGTATTGCGCAAGGTCCTACTGGTTTCTAGCTTCCAAATGGCTCTCATGACCCTGGTCAACTACACCTCTGAGTCTTTGGGCATAGTCTGTATTCTCGTGTTCTCTGAGTCCTTGTTCAGCAGCTGCTCCTCCACTGACTCTGGACCTTTCTGGTTCTCAACGGCAGGGGCAAGAGCAACCCGTTGTGTGGCACGTATTCCCAGGGGTTTCTTCATGTTGGGATGATTCACACAGGTCCCTGAGTGGACCTTCGCAGCTGGTGCATGGCGGGCCAATTGTGTCATTGCTTCTCTGTGCCATGATAGTTCTCAACTGCGTGGCAGCAGCTGGTCTGATGGCTGGTGAGCGCCAATGTGCGCTGCCTCGCAGCTTCTCAGACATCGGCTGCCCACCTCCGAGGCACCTGCGCGGCTGGGGTCCGGCCCAGAGGCCAGAAGTCCCCATCGCACAGCTTCCTTGAGCGCTGGTTCCCCGCCTCCCGGGCGCCTGCACGGCTGGGGTCTGGCCCAAAGGCCAGAGCTCCCTGCCATACAGCTTCCCGAGCACCGGCTCACTTATATGTTTTTAATGATCAAGAACCAGAGACTATATCACCTTAACTACCTGTACATTGGAAGCGCTTCGTCAGTGTAAGGAGTTGGCACATATGGTCAGTTGGGTTCTTTCTTGGTTCTAACATTCTTTATTTCTCATTCATACTTATTCATTTTCAGTCTGTCTGTCTGTCTGTCCCTCTGTCCATCCCCACCTCCCCCTCGCACTCATTTTTTTTTTCTCTCACTTTTTTTTTTTTTCGAGTACCAGGAATCGAACTCATGACCTTGCGCTTGCCAGGCAGGCACTATGCCAGCTGAGGTAAATCCCCAGCCCCTCTCTCACTCATTTATTTTTTATTTTTTATTTTTTATTTTTGTTTTTGTTTTTGTTTTTTTGTTGTTGTTGTTTTTTCCAGTACCAGGAATCAAACTCACAACGTCGCTCTTGCCAGGCAGGCACTGTGCCACTGAGCTAAATCCCCAGCCCCTCTGTCACTCACTTATAAGACAGAGTCTCACTATGTAATTCAGGTCTTGAACTCATGTAGCCCAGGCTGAGCTTGCAGTGATCCTCTTGCCTCAGCTTCGCAAGTGCTAGTATACAGGCATTTATCACCATACCTGGTTCTTTTTCATTGTCATAAATTTTATGTACCCTATGTACACAGATTCATGTGAACTCATCCCTCTCCTGCCCCTGCATTTTTCTGCTTTGTTCATCTTGAAAAACTAAGGATGACTATATTTGTATATGTTATAGTATCTTCAGTATCAGAGAACCATTACTAGAAATTAGCTATTTCTTTTGAATGGGAGGCTCCTTAATTTCCTTGATTTAAAGATAAACGCTCACCTGGACATGGTAGTGCATGCCCAGAGTCCCAACCATGTTGAAATGAGACAGAAACAAAGAATTGTAAGTTCAAACCCCAGTCTGAGCAGTTCAGCAAGACCCTGTCTCAAAATTAAAAACACAGAGGGGCCGAGGATGTAGCTCAGAGCAAAGGCCATGAGTTCATAAAATAAATACATTTTTAAAAATAAAGAAAAAACAAAGATAAAGCCTCACTTACCTTTTTGTCAAGTGGTTACACCATGTTGAATTAGAGCTATGTTACTGAATCTTCTGCTTTTGGAATAGCTATATATTTTATTCAGTAGATTAAGAGACTAGCTTGTTACAACTTTTCATAAAAAAAATAGTTAGTTTTACTCATAAAATCTGAATTAGTAATTGACACTTAGCTGTGATGTGTCTATGTAGGTGATAATTGTTCCAGGTGGGTGTGATAGTGCATGTCTGTAATTCCAGCACTCAGAGGCTGAAGCGGGAGGATCACGGTTTCAAGCCCAGCCAGGACAATTTAGTAAGACCCTATCACAAAATATATAAAAAGGGCTGAGGATATAATTCAGTGCAAAGGCTCTGGGTTCAGTCCTCAGTGCTTGGAGGTGGGGGGATAAATAGTCCCTATAAGAGTATATGTAAGCTAAGCTTTCAAATTTTATGACAAAAAGCCAGCTATAGGAGTTGTTGAGAAAAGATGGCTGATGACTGAAGTGAAAATAAAACTGCTGCTAATTCAGTGCAACTATAATTCAATAAATGCTATCAGTAATTCTCTTAACTCACCCTGCATGTTTGCCATTACCATTGTTGGTTTTCCTGGAGGAACTTGTCATGCTGACTTTCCTGATGAACTCGGCTGCTCTCATCCTTGAAGGAGCTCGGGACCTTGTTGTCGCTGAGAATGGCTGTGGTTCACTTTGGGGAAGCTCTGGTCCTTATTTGAGCATCGATCGCTTCCTGGCTCTGGAGGGGAAGGTGGTGCACAGCTCAGTCTCCTAGAGAAACTTGTAGCATTGGCTTTCCTGATGGGAACTCAGCTGTTGAACTGTTGGAGGAGCTCCGGACCTCACTGTCACTGAGGATGGCAGTGGTACTTTTCAGGGACGCTCTGATCTTTACTTTGAGCATCGCTTCCTGGCTGCAGGGCAGATCCCTCAGCCTGCTAGCACAGATCCTTCATCCCACTGGTACAGACTTTCTAACTTCCACCTCTGACCTTGGGGCCTTCTCAGCATAGGTCCATGATACAGTCCTGCCTGAGACTGTCGAGGGCTCTTTGCCTCTGGTTAGACTTGTGAGGGGCATTGTTATGGGTCTAGGTCTTCAGCTGGACTCAAGCAAGACATTACCATGGGATCCAGGCCCTCAGCTGGATTCTTTGGTCTTTAGTGTGTGGACAGATTTCCTGCACTCTTTTTGTATATGACTCTATGGATGACTGTTGTAAAACAGTTTTATAAATTATGTTTCCTGTATTGTTTCCCCTTGTAAACCCCAAACTACAACAATTACTGTTTTGCAGATGAGAAAATTAAGATTTAAAGAGAGCTGAGATTCACAATCAAGTGAGTCTAGAGCCTGTGCTCATGTTAATAGAAGGAGCTCACTTGGTTACTAGCTGGGCATGATGATGTGTGCATATAATCCCAGCTCTCAGAAGGCTAAAGCAGGAAGGTCATGAGTTCAAGGCCTTGGCTACATAGCAAAGCCCTAAAAAAGTAGGAATATTGTCTGTGAATAATAAGCCCATTTCTGGCCCTAATCTGAGACTAGAAAAAGACACCTTCCAAGAAGGAAGAAATGACTTTGAGATGCACTTTCTTAAAATAACTGGAAAATGACCTCATGAGCCTGCTGACAGCCAAGGCTTGCAAATGGATACATTTCTGTTAGCCTGATGCTTGATGCAGGAGAGCCAACCTATATGGAGTGCATTATATCATGTCCTCCAGGCAGGAGCCTGTCTGCGAGAGGGGACTTAAGGCGGTGCAGTCACAGATGTCAATGTAAATTCTGTCAACCAGACCTGTCTTTATTAGGTAAATATTACTGATCTGGGTTCCTGGTTCCCTCTTATGTAACTATTTGTTGCATCTTAAGGTAAAATAATATTCAGTATTTATTATAAGAATTTTAAGGGGCCTAGGGATATAGCTCAGTGGCACAGCACCTGCCTGGCAAGCACAAGGTCCTGAGTTAGATTCCCGGTACCAAAAAAAAAATTTTTAAGAACACCCAATAGTTGGATAAGATCTTCAATATTAAAGTGTTGCTATGTTCCTTCTTTCATGAATGAAGAGTTCCTTTTATTTTTTTATTGTAAGTATTCCTGGTAGATAAACTGGAGGGAGCGGGAGGGAGCACATGCCAGGTCCTGGAGTCTGTCCCCTTCTAAAACAGCCCCTCTTCCTGCTTTAGCCTTCTGAGAGCTGGGCTTCGCACTGCACAGGCAGAGCACATTGTCCTTGGTGGATGCAGGATGCCGCTTCTCCATGCAGTAGTGTTACAGACCACCAGGTTAAAATGAGAGTAGTGTCTGGGAGGAGTTCTAAAATTATAACCTGATGAACTGCTTTTCTTGGAAAAATTATTATCAGTGATGAAGAATATCTGCAAAGTAGCTGGCCCAGGCATACATACTCAGAGCAAGTTGCTATGCCAGGAAATAAAGAAGGACAGTAGACTCTGTGATTTAAAACCTATTTGATCTGGATTTGATTTGTAAAATAATCTAAGTGAAGTCTATGATGCACTTAAAATCATAGAAATTTACCTCTATCTATAGGTGAGACTCATGGACAATGGCCTAGCTTATTAGAAACTTTCTAGAAGAACATTAAGGGTTTTCCCCCATTTTATTAAGTAAAAGTTACTTGCCTGGGTATAGTGGTGGACACCTGTAAACTCAGCATTCAGAGGGCTGAGGTAGGAGGATCACTGTGAGTTTGAGGTTAGCCTAGGCTGCATATTGAGTTCAAGACCAATCTGAACTACATAGCAAGACCCTGTCTCAAAAAACAAAGTATTTTTATATATTCTATAATCATCCCTCTTACTGAATTGTCTAGTTGTTGTAGTAGTTTTTCATGTGATTCTCTGGGGTTTGCCAGATACACAGTCATTTCATCTATAACTAATGATGACGTGACCTGCTCCTCACCTCTTATTCCACTCTTCTCTAATTGCATTGGTTACCACATCTATAGCAATGTTGAAAACACCTTGCTTGGACACCTTTAATGTGTGGAACCTATAGAAGGGAAGTAAGCTCTAGTGCCAGTAGTGCCTTACAAGGCAGAAGTCAAACCTGGGGGTAGATATTCTTGATCTTTCAGGAGCAAGTCTACAACATGTAGCTTAAGAGGCCCTGTAACAACATATGTACACCTCTCCATCATGTGTGGAGCTCTAGTAAGCTGAGGAAGACAGTGGGTTCTCAGCTGTCACATTGGGAGTTCTCTGGGGCCCAGCAGAAAGACGCTCTGTTTCATAATCTTAGAATTTGGTAGAGGACATGAACACCCCCATGTACTTCATCAGTACTTCATAAATACCAATGTCACCCTCTTCTCTTCTAGGCCCAGCTTCGGGCATTTATCCCAGAGATGCTCAAGTACTCTACAGGTCGGGGGAAACCAGGCTGGGGGAAGGAGAGCTGCAAGCCCATCTGGTGGCCTGAAGACATCCCTTGGGCAAATGTCCGGAGTGACGTCCGCACAGAAGAACAGAAGCAGAGGGTGAGGTTCCTCTGGACTGCATTGGCCATTGCTTTTGCATTCTGAATCAGTTGCCTCAATTTTTGTCATTCCTGCTTCTTACGCTAGAAAGACTAAAAATATTGGTGTAACAGTCCAACTTTTCCTCCAAAGAAGTTTACTGTTCTCTGAGTTACAGCCGTTTCCTGGCATCACTCTGTCACCATAGACAGAAGACCAGGATAAGCCTGTGAATTTATACTTTGTCTTCCTAGTTACTTTTTGGAGCAGCTTTAATTTTATAAGTTCTTGTGAAAACCAAAGGGACTCCAAGTGAAAGTGTTCATCATGTCAAGACTTGAAATATCTTTATTTCTGATTAGCAACAATCACTGTCCAAAAATATAAATATGGTATTAGGGAGGTATGATGTCTACCAAGGGAGTCTGCTAACAGGAAAACTTTGAAAAGAAAGACTAAACTAGATAACATCCCTTACTTTTTCTGCATGTTTTTGACTGGAAGTATAATGTACAATTTTTGGCCAGGGTAATCTTCCTTTGTGAGAAACTTAAGTTTGACCTCAGATTGGAATAGAGTATAAAACCCCAAAATTAACCTAAATGTTGATCAGGAAGGAAACCAATGGGAATCCTTTTTCGATACTTGGTTCTTGGTTTCTTAGTGCCAGAGTCAGTCTGTGGGAAATAATCTTGAGAGAGTTTACTCTATGTTTGATTTAATTTCTTTGACGAGTAAGCAGCCAGTTTCTCCATAGTGGGACTAAGGCCTAATGTACTTTTCCGGTCTTTTGTTGACAGGTTTCATGGACCCAGGCACTACGGACCATAGTTAAAAACTGCTATAAGCAGCACGGACGAGAAGATCTCTTGTACGCTTTTGAAGATCAGCAAACACAAACACAGGCCACCACCACCCACAGCATAGCCCACCTCGTCCCGTCACAGACTGTAGTGCAAACTTTTAGCAACCCAGATGGCACTGTCTCACTTATCCAGGTGAGTAAACCTCATGGTTTCTGGGGGGCTGATCAGCAGAGTCCCCACCTCACATAGAGAAGCCCTTGTATGGGTTTCCTACAGCTCCCTAGGTTCCTTACCTAAAATTGACTCCTGAACAATATTGTAAATTGCTTGCATTTTACTTAATTCAGAGCTATGAGCAGCTTTTCTGGCATTTCCAAAACAAAACACTTTTTTTTGTTGCTTTTTTTGAGACAAGGTCTCCTATACAATTTAGGCTAGCCTTGACAGTGTAGCCCAGATGGGCCTCGAACTTGTGGAAATCCTCCTGGCTCAGACTCCCAAGTGCTGGGATTATAGGCATGCACCACCATGCCCAGCTGCAAAGTGCTTTTAAAAAGCTTCTTTTTACTGTTTCACTGTCAGTGGCATGGGAATATTCTGTTGTTTTGTTTTGGTTTTTGTCTTTTTTGAGACAGGGTCTCACTGTGCAGTCAGGCTGGCCTTGAGCTCACTTTGTAGCCCAGGCTGGTCTTGAACTCACAATGATCCTCCTGTCTCAGCCTCCTGAGTGCTGGGATTACAGGCATATGCCACCACACCTGGCTCCTGGGAATATTCTGAATTACTTCTTATAGCTGAGTATGGTGGTAAACACCCGTAATCCCAGTACTTGTAAGGCTGAGACAGGATTGCTGCAAGTTTGAGCCAGCAGGGTATACATAGTGAGACTCTGTCTCAAATAAACAAACAAACACAGAAAAGAAAATATAAATTACTTTTTCTGAGATGAAATAGTTTATTGACAGATAGGAAACTGTAAAGTTCAGGTGGGGGTTAGAGTAGGAAATTGGTTGGCTGGCTCTTTAGTATTGTTTCGTTTAATTGAAGTAAAATCCTGAAACTTGTGTTGGTGTTCAATAACTCATTTCACGTCACCAGGTTTATTAACCTCTATCTATGCTGAATTTGCTGTTCAGTGCATCTTAGTTTCTGAGTAAGGCAAGGCAGAGGCCCATCCATAGATACTGACCACTTTCCATGATTCTCTTCAGGTTGGTACGGGGGCAACAGTAGCCACATTGGCTGATGCTTCAGAATTGCCAACCACAGTCACTGTAGCACAGGTGAATTACTCTGCTGTGGCTGATGGAGAGGTAAGAGAAAACATCCTGTCTCCATCTATTTAAATACCTGGATGAATGGGTGAGGGAGAACTGAGAATCCAGAAGACCAAGTTGTAGCCTTCACGTGGGTAGCATTTTATTATTTAAACCTTTTCAACGCCATGCCATGATAGTTTAGGGAATTATGCCATGTGTGTGCATTCTGACATTAAAATCCATGGACCACTGTTACCAAAACCCAACCAGTAGGAACTTACAGTTTTTATATTTGCAATATAGCATTTTTTATGATACACTAGAAAAGGGATTATTTATCTAACCCTTTTCTATGAAAAGGATCATGTGAGGCCCTAGTATGCAAAAAGTATGCAATAACCTAAGTAGGTGGAAAGAAATAAAAAATTCTACAGTCTTAAGCAGTTTAAAATTAATCAGGGATAAGTACAAATTGCATAGACATTTAGCATTGAACAAGGAAAGATGTTTTTTAAAAATATGGAGGGCTGGGGATATAGCTCAGTGGCACTGTGGCTGCCTGGCAAGCACAAGGTCGTGAGTTCAATTCCCAGTGCCAAATGAATGAAATTATGTATGTTAACTTTAAAATATACCATGGCTGTGTGTGGTATTAAGGAGGGAGGATCACTTGAGCTCACAAGTTCAAGACCAGCATGGGCAACAAGACAAAATTAATTCATTAATTTTTATTTTTATGACATTTTAAAATGCAGATAGTACAGAAACTTATTCTGTCCTCTGATAGGACCACCAGGTGATATTAAGTGCAACGAGTGCCAGAAAAACCAAAATAGAGTGATATCTGATGATAATGCTGTGTGATTTTACTGGAAGAAATAAAACACCAAACTATAAACACATTAGAGACAAGAACCTTAATCAGAACTATCACACATGTAACAGTTTTGAAATAACAAGTCATTTTGGTGGGCATTTTTTTAAATGAATGTCTTTTTTTTTTTTTTTTTGGTCTTTTTGAGACAGGGTCTCACGATACAGTTCAGGCTGACCTTAAACTCACTTTGTAGCCCAGGCTGCTTTCAAACTCCCAACAATCCTACCTCAGCCTCCCAAGTGCTGGGGTTACAGGCGTGTGCCACCATGCCCAGCTATGTAAATATCAGTTTAGCTGAAATATATATAAGCTAAATAACACATAGGAAATGTAAATAAAGGAATATGTTCTATCCATACAGCAAACTGTCATGGTACCCCGAGCCAGACACTATAAATACTTAGACACAGGACAATAAAGCCTGCCCTTGCCTGGAAGAAGCACACAGGCAAGTGGTGGGGAAAGAAACCCTACAGTGAAGCACGGTAGTGAGCTAAGGGCCTAGCAGCAAGTCCAGGGCACTGCGGGACCCAGAGAAGAGAGACTTTAGTCTTGGACTACATGGAAGGGGTGTTGTCTCCAGAAACACTTCCTGGGGCAGGTAGCACTGAGCTCAGGGGACGAGAGTAACTCACAAAGCAAAGGGTACAAGGATAGGAGCTGTGTTCTATCAAAGGCAGAGGCACATTCCATGTGCTGAGTTACAAAGCAGGGAACGGCCATAGTGCTCTCTCTAGCTAATTTGAAGGGCCTCTGTAGTGACTCACTCAGAAATACAGAGAATCTAATGGGATATCTTCAACTACTACTCCTGCCCCTGAGGCCCCTTTTCTGGGACATGGATGGTGACATAGATAACCATACACTAGCTCCCAACAGATAGGAATTCAGAGCAACAAGAACTCAAGCAACCCAGCCAAGATGCTGAGATTCCAGGATAGGAAATGCCAAGTGGATGATAGAACTGAACCTAATTTATCTATCACCTGCCACATTTCTCTTCCTGGGGCTGGGGATGTAGCTCAGTGGCATAAGTGCTTGCCTTGCAAGCCTGAGGTCACAAGTTCGATTCCTGGTACCAAAAAAAGCATATTTCTCTTCCTGTTTCTTCCAATTTTCTTCCCACTGTCTACCATCATCCCATTAATCTCATTCTGAATAATTTCAGTTATAATTGCATTTGTGGTGAAATGTACCTATGCTGAATTCTTGCCACTGGTGTATGGGGACTTGGGAACTGCTCTGGACCAAGCTCAGGGGACACAGCAGTAATGTGATAGCTACAAGCAAAGCTGGGTCAGAAAAGAGGAAGACTGCCAGTGGCCATATGTGATGGTGCTATCAGCGTCAGCAGCTGTTTCTGGTTTTGGTTTTGTTTGTGTTTTGGTTTTTTGGGGGAGGTTCTTGGAGACAGGGTCTCGCTATGTAGATTAGGCTGGCCTTGAGCTCACTATGTAACTGAGGCTGGCCTTGAGCTCACTATGTAACTGAGGCTGGCCTTGAACTAGCAGATTCCCCTGCTTGTTGGTTTTTTGTTTTTGAGTGGAATCAGTAACCATCTAAAAACTGGTAGTGTAGCTTGCTGTCCAAAGTGGCATTGTTAGCAACAAAGCTCATTGGAGAAGTGAATTCATATCTTGGGAATCAAGAGTTTAGGGAGTTCCTGACTAAGTCACTTTGTAGCTCTCAGAACCTCTGCCTCTGTAGCAAGGGGCCATGAAAACCTGCTGGCATCCTGTTCTTAAGAGTACCCAAGGCACATACTAAGGGAACTCAAAAGAATGTCTCTTTCTCTGGAAGGCTTCTGAGAAACATTCTGAGAAGCATTATCATAATCTGAGGATGCTAATAGAACCAAAGCAAGAGGTATTTTAAATATCTCTCCCAGAGCTTTTGGCACTTTCTTGGGGACACAGAAGTAGGCAGATACAAAGTAAGCGCTCACTGGGCCCAGTATTGTAAAGCAGGGACAGTAGAGCCCCAGGAAACACCACTAATATCCTAAGGTCCAGAAAGATATCAGACCCAAGCACATGTATTACTCCGTACATCTGAATAGAAACTGCCTATGCTGCCTCACTGCATTTTGTTTTTGAGGGGAGATAATTAATCAGGCAATATTCACTGAACTGAATGGGTTGAAGTAGCTAAACAACGGGTATCTAGAAGTGAAAAATTTCTCCCTGCAAGGAATTGTGCTAAAAATCAGTGGTTCTCAGCCTAGGGCCAGCAAGAACATTTGTCAATATCTAGAGATATTTTTGGGTTTTTGTTTGTTTTTTGATTTTTGAGACAGGGTCTTGCTTTGAAGTTCAAGCTGGGCTTGCACTCACTATGGCTAACCTTGACCTCACAGCAATCTTCCTGTCTCAGCCTTCCAAGTGCTGGGACTACAGGCGTGCGCCACTACACCTGGTGCAATATCTAGAGGTATTTTTGATTATCATGACTAGGGTGCCATGGCATCTAGTAGCTACCCTGTAATGTAGAGGACAGCCTCCCACAACAGTGGTCAGGCCCAAAATGTTAATAGCACCAAGGTTGAGAAACTCTATGCTAGCTATGACCAAGCTGGCTTCTCATTTACTCTGTTACCAGAAAGGTTAGTTTTTTAGTTTGGTTTCTTCATAATTCCTCACCCACTAAAAAGAAAGCATTTTTTGCTATATGTATATACACACACATACCTATAAAGTATTAAGTATATGCCTCTGCCAGGCTACAAAGTGAGCTCAAGGCCAGCCTGAACTGCATAGTGAGACCTCTCAAAAAAGGACAGATAGATGATAGATAGATAAATAGATAGATAGATAGATAGATAGATAGATAGATAGATAGATAGATAAATTTTAAAAAATGCCTCTGGGCTGGGGATGTGGCTTAGTTGTAGAACTCCTACCCAACATGTGTAAGTCCCTCATTTTACACTTCTGCACTGGAGGGGAAACATTACTGAGTATAGCAGTTTCCATCAGAAATCAAAATACGAAATAACTGATTTATAATTCTACCTTTAGGCATTTATCCAGAAATAGTTAGACTCATGTGCTATACAAAGTGGTATGTATGGATATTCCACACAGCATTGTTGGTAATAGCAAAAGACTAAAAACTATCTGAATGCCCGTTAAAAGATGGCTGGTAAGTCAATCACGGTGTTTCTATGTAGTGCAATGCTCTGTAGCAATTATTATGACACAGTTTTCTGTGTTCTAAAGTGGAATCATTTCTGAGATGTGTTGCTCAGGGGGGAAGCAAAGTATAAAAAATAGGTAGACTATGCTATCATTTTTACTGCTAAATTGGAAGGAACAGAAAGGTGAAAACAGGGCATGTGCATGTGTGTGAATGCATTTGCATCGAGAGAGAATACCTCTGCAAATACAAGAAAATGGGTAACAGTAATAAACCCTTGGGGCAGAGTCTGGAGTACTGGCATTATTCCCTTTGGTGCAGTTTGATTTATCATGTATAACATAATGTTTTGAAATATGTATACATTGTGGGGTGGCTAAAGCAAGCTAATTAACACATACATTACTTCACATACCTATTTTTTACAGCAAAAGCACAATTATATGTATTGTCTATTCAAAATTTAACCTTAATTTTTAATCAATAATATATTAAAAGTATACAGTGGAAAATTTACTTTCTGTCTGCCGTCCAACCCCAAGAAAGTATTTTCAATGGGTTTGTGTGTGTGTGTGTCCCAGAATTTCCTTTATGCAAATATAAGCAAATTCAAATATATATTTTACTACCCCTCCTTTTTTACACAAACAATAACATACTAAAAACCCTGTCTGTGAACCATAGGTCGTGTTGATGTAAAAGTGTATATTTATTTGATGAAAAGCATGGCAATTTATTATAAAAATCACTGTTTTTAAGATCATAACCCTGCTGGGCATGGTGGCGCACACCTGTAATCCCAGCATTTGGGAAGCTGAGGCAGGAGGATCGCTGCAAGTTTGAGACCAGCCTGGGCTACAAAGTGAGCTCAAGGCCAGCCTGAACTGCATAGCAAGACCCTGTCTCAAAAAGACAAAAAAAAAAAAATCATAACCCTTTTGTGGCTCTGACCTTTGACTGTCTTGTCCTTTCTACTTCAGGTGGAACAAAACTGGGCCACATTACAGGGAGGTGAGATGACCATCCAGACAACGCAGGCATCAGAGGCCACCCAGGCAGTGGCGTCCTTGGCAGAGGCCGCAGTGGCAGCTTCTCAGGAGATGCAACAGGGAGCCACCGTCACCATGGCGCTGAACAGGTGGAGGCAGGGGCAGGGTAGATGAGGGTCTCAGGGCTGACTGGTGGCCCCATGGCTCATTCCGAGGCAGTGGGAACTAATACTCTCCACCTGTAAGACATTGTAGGTTGGTTTTGAGGAAGCCCTTGTGAAGAAAAGTACTTTTTCTGCAGGAGTGTTTTGGGAGAGAGCTACAGAATGGGATGCTCCGTTAGGGGGTAGTTTCCAAAACAGGATTGCATTGTTTTCTCCTAGGTTCTTTCTATTGGTTGTTGATTGGAAAGCTTATCCCCATTTCATTCTTCCTCTTCTTCCTAACATAATTTTATTTTCAAACAACCTGGGCATTGTGATTATGGCTGAGGATGGACCCTGGAGCCAAGCTTCCTGAGCCTGAAGCCCAGCCCTGTTACTTTCTAACTGGCTGACCTTGGGCAGTTTATTTGAAGTCTCATACCCATACTTTCCTTGTCTGTGAAATGGGTGTAATAACTGTACCTGCCTTGCTGGGCTGTTATGAGAACTGAGAAGGTTACTGCATGTGAGAGGCTTTGACCCGCACTTGGCATGCAGTAAGGGCTGCAGTTATCGTGCATGACAGCTGTTAGTCACAGAACTCTGTGACATAGCAGCACCCTATCGGGTAAGCTTGGGAAAGGCTTCAGCACATAATTGCTGCTTTTGGAGAAATCATGCTCTTAGTGGGGAGACTGATTTCAGTAAAACACATGTTGAACAATATGAGAGTATAATTCCCTCCTGAATCGTATAGTACAGACTGTGAACACTGTAGAAGTTCAGAGAGGTAAATCGCCTTCCCCAGAATATAAAATCCAGCTGCAGTTTAAATTGGTTGGGGTAGATGAAAAGTACTGATGGGTTTGTGTACAAACAGCATACTGTGTGAGGCTGTACAGAGTGGTAGTTAAGAAAAGGGCTCCAAGGTCTCATAAATCCTCTTTGAATCCCAGCTCCACCACTTGCCTTTTACTCTTGGGAAGCTTAACCCCTGAGCCTTGGTTTTCTTCTTGTTATAAGACTAATGCTCATCTCACTAAGATTCGGTACAATGATTACTATAAAACCCTCATTAAGGTGTCCAGCTCCTGTTTAGCACCTTAGGAATTATAGCTATTGTCATTTAAATTATATTTCAAGATCTGTCTATTCATAATTGATTATACTGAAAAGTGATTATGAGACCAGCTAGAAAGAGGCATTCCGGGTCTGCCTTATTAAAGACTTGGGAACTAATATAAGAATGGAGATAAAGTGACTGATTTTGCAGGCTGTAATAACCAGAATTTGGTGGTTGATCATCAACAGAAGACTGAAACACACACAAACATCATTGGCCTGTGAGAGTTACCTGAGTTCCTGAGTAACCTGCAATTGCAACTGTTTCTCAGCCTGTTTGTTGAACCATGTCACTTTCTGGCAACATGAAAGTCTTACTCAGTTTATTATGTGTTGGCTCAGTCTTACTCCTGTCTCTCAGAGGAAACATCAAGATAAACTTCCTAAAAGCATGGTTCAAGTGAGAACCTCTCTCTCTTTATAGTCTGGTGACTTCTGTGACTGTGAATTTGGGCTTAACAGGCCATCATTATAAATCAGCAAAACTTGAGCCTTCCAGTCAGCACCCTGGATGTTCCAGTGAGGTGTGAGTGTCCCTGGGAGCCCTGTACATAGTGGAAAATCTGAGGCCCATTCTGACTCCCTTTGCTGTGAGGACTAGGCTTATTTCCCAAGCAGCAAGGGTAATGGTATTCCCTGAGGGCTTGTTAACAAACTTGGATGCAGCTGAGGTGGCCACAGTGTTTACTCCAAAGGAAGGAGAATGTGTTTTATGTGGATGAAGGAGGGGTAAAGAGATGTTGAAATCTGTTTGCAATCAAATAGTCCAGTGTCCCAGTGAGTCTTGGGGGAGTGGTGTGTTGCTGCTTCTGCCCACATTGAAGGTGGCAAACCCAACAGCTAAGACAGGACTATAGCAAGCTATCACCCACAGTAATGTCTCAATCGGGTGGGCTAGACTGAAGGCAAGCCTTTGGTGATGGCTTCTCTGTGAATGAGTTGCAGTAGAGCCTTTTAGCCCCTGCCCTCACAGCCTTGCCATACAGCTCCTTGTTGGAAATCATCATAGTAAAAAAACACAGAGAAATCTTATTTGTTCCTATGGTAACAAAGTGATTTCATAGCCTGCTACCTGCCAGCCTTCTCTGTTTCAGGTGCAGCTGTAAGAAGTATGGTTCTCTAATGACCACCTGCACCTCTGCTGCACTGTAAACAGCAGATGTGAGCCCAGGACGAGAAGGGCGAGGCCATCTCTATGTGATGGCAGGTGGGGCTTGGAAGACAGGGAGACTCCCGCAGCCAGGGCCCTTACAGAGGAAGGGGATCAGGACAGATGCAGGACAGACTTGTTTTTCAGCCATGCTGTTAAAGAGTTTCATGCAGCAAATCAGAACGGGGCCCGGGCGCTCCATGGCCTTAGCCCACCCTGGCTTTGGGACACCCCAAAGAGCTGAAAAATAGGTTAATTTTAATTTTTAAAATGAACAGTAGCCAGGCATGGTGGCACACATCTATAATCCCAGCACTTGAAAGGCTGAGGCAGGAGGATCATTGCAAGTTCAAGGCCAGCCTGGGCTACAAAGTGAGTTTAAGAACAGCCTGAACTGGCATAGTGAGACCCTGTCTCAAAAGAAAGAAAGAGAGAGAGAGAGAAAGAGAGAGAGGGAGGGAAGAAGGAAAGAAAGAAAGAAAGAAAAAGTACATGAGCATTTTAGGAATGAAGTAGAGAAGGAATCAAGGGGAACAAATGAAAAGCAGAGAATCACAACTTTAAAAAAAAAAAAGCTATTTAGTCCAAACAACCAGAGAGGAAGGGAAGTAATACCGGTATTTATTTGTTGTCATACAGTGGTGAATTTGAAGTTTGGTTTGGTTTCCTTTGGGTTTGGGCGGTAATGAGGAATGAACCCAGGGCCTTCATGCTGGGGTACATCTCTAGCCTGCCCCCCACCTTTTTTTTGACAGGGGCTCACTAAGTTGCCCAGGCTCTACGTTTGAACTTACGTTCTTCCTGTGTCAGCCTCCCAGAGTGCTGGGGTCACAGTCATATGCAACCATGCCTGGCTTCAAAGTTTTAGTTCTTAGGGGCCGGGGATTTAGCTCAGCGGCAAAAGCGTTTGCCTGGCAAGCGCAAGGTCGTGAGTTTGGTTCCCGGTACCGGAGAAAAACCAAAAAAAAAAAAACAGCAACAAAGTTTTAGTTCTTTAGTTATGTAATCAGATTTATCATCCCACTTAAACAGCAGGTCTTCCTGTAAATTCAGTCCTTATATATGCTCAATACAGTTCTGGTTTGGAAATTATTTTTGTCTAAAAACTATATAGTGATAAAGCAAGAACATTTTAATCTCTATTCATTGTCTTTGTGGCATAACAGAAAACACCCATCACATGCCTGAAATCCCAGTGCTCTAAGAGCCTAAAGCAGGAATATTGCAAGTTTGAGCCTACCTTGGGTGACTTAGTGAGATCTTGTCTCAAAAATAAAAAAATAATAAACGTACTGGGAATGTGGTTCAGTGTAAAGGCCCTTACTTTAACCCTACCAAAAAACATCACCCACCTGTCAGCCTGGAACCCCCATCAGGCCCCTTATCCCTGGGCGTCCCAGATTGCTCTAGGTTATTGCTGGTTTTCATCTTTCCTTTACTCATATCACAGGAATTAAAGAAAATAACTTCTAGATATTTAGAGCTTGATAGAGCAATAGGTATGGCCCTGTACAGGGATTCCAAGTCAGGGCCTGACAGCTGCCCTTGCCTGCCTTGCCCAGGAAACTGCAAGTATGTTGTCCAGGGTCTGTGCTTTTCTCTTTTCTATGGAGTCTCAGTCAGACTGGAAGTATTCTGTCATTAATTCATGATAGCTAGACACTGTAAAATTGGCTGGTAATATTTATTGATACAAGTTTCTTAGAAAAATATTTAAAGTTAAGGCCCTAGATGCTAAATACAGTATTTGTTACGTTGTCTCTATTAAATACTTAGAAAGCACTTTACACTTAAATTCTGTCATGAAAAATGTGAAGCACAGCCTTCATAGTAATTCTAGATCAGGACTTCCTGCTGGCTCTGAGTACCCATTATGAGTAGTGGGAAATAACTCCCTCCCAAGAGCATCTTAACAGAGAGAACAGGCTTAGCTTGTATCTGGCTGCATGTCAAATCTACAACGATGCTCAGCTTTTTGTTCAGCTTCAATTATACTCCAGTATTTTTTTTTATAAAGGAAGAAAATAATTTTGAAATAATGATGACCTTGAGGGGAATAAAAGAAACCTATAAATTTTGTTTATCTTTCCCACTAGAAGCAGTTGCCATAGGTAGCCAACTTTAACAGATGAAAAGATCAATTGGGCATAGTGGTACATGCCTGTAATCCTATCAACTCCAGGGACTGAGGCAAGAGAATCACAAGTTTAAAACCAGCCTGCACAATTTAGTGAGACCCTCTCTCAAATTAAAAAATAAAAAGGGCTAGGCATGGTGGTGTAATCCCAGCCCTCGGGAGGCTGGGGCAGGAGGATCGCTGCTGAGTTTAAGGCCAGCCTGGGCTATATATAGTGAGTTCAAGACCAGCCTGAACTATGTAGCAAGACCCTCAAAAAAAAAGGGATTGGGGATGTTGCTCAGTACTTGTTGTATTCCATCCCTGGTATAGTACAAAGCAGAAAAGGAAAAGATCAGCAATTTTGCATTTATTGCTTTGAATAGATATCAGGCTATTTACATGGGAAAATATAATGTTAAGTGGGGGGGGGGAGTCTGTAAAAACATGTACAAGTCAGGCATGATGCACACCTGTAATCCCAGTACTCTAAGAAGCTGAGGTAGGAAGATCACAAATTCAAGCTCAGCTCAGACAGTTTAGTAACTCAGCAAGACCTCAAACAAGGGTGGGGATGTAGCTCAGTGCCAAGGCCCTGTGTTCAATCCACATTACCAAGAAAAAAAAAAGAAAATATATGTACACAAAGGATAACACTGGATAGTAATTAGAAACCATATGAAGATAAATACAGTAATATTATTAGGATGTCAATATTGCTCAAAATAGTCTACAGATTCAGTGCAATTCCTTTAAAATCCCAATGATATTGTTTGTAGAAATAGAAAAACCCATCCTAAAATTCATTTGGAATTTCAGTGGGCTGCAAATCGCCAAAATGAAAAAGAACAGAACTGAAGAACTCACATTTCTGATTTCAGTACCTACTCAAAGTTACACTAATCGGGCCAGGGATGTAACTCAGTGGCACAGCACCTGCCTGAGTTCAATTCCTGGCACACCCCCAAAAAAGTTACAATAATCAAAACAGTATGGTACTGGCCTAAAGACAGTCATATAAACCAATCAGATAGAATAGGAAGCCTAGAAATAAACCTTTCCATATGTGGTTAAGTGACTGATAACAGTGGTGCCAAGACCATCCAGTAGGGAATGAATAGTCTTCAAGGATGAGTGTTGGGGAGGCTGAATATCCCTAGCCACATGCAAAAGATTACAGTTGGACTCTGACCTAACAACATGTACAAACATTAAATTCAAAATGGACCAAAGACCTAAATGTAAAATCTTTTTTTTTTTGGCCTTTGAGACAGGGTCTCACTATGCAGTTCAGGCTGCCGTGAGCTCACTTTGTAGCCCAGGCTGGTCTCAAACTCAGTTATCCTCCTGCCTCAGCCTCCCAAGTGCTGGCATTACAGGCGTGCACCACTACGCCCAGCTTCTAAATGTAAAATCTAACACTGTAGAACTCTTAAAAGCAAATCACTGATTTAGGAAGAAGTTTCATGTCAGAAGAAGATTAAGTTAGATTCATTCAGAAGTCCAACAATGTGAATGTTACACTGTATTTTCACTTTTGTTTCCATGGTTACTGATTTGCACTTCTAGCAGTCTCCTCCACATCACCACTGCTTTCCCTCTTGCTTCCGGACATCCTGAGCTCTGACTGAGCACTGTACTGCTGTAGCACAATGTGACAGTGTCCAGGCAGACACTACGAGCTACTTCTGTGATTTGTTTGCATATATAAATGTTCCTAATTCAAAGTCCATTCATATCTGTGAAAGTTCACAACTCAAATGTCTTAAGTCAGGGACTTACTATAGTTCATAGCATCACAGAATCAAGAAAGATGAGCATTTATGCACATCACAGAAGTATATAGCAAGAAAAAGAAAAATGGGACACAGTGCTAGAATAGCTTTCCCTCCAAACAGATGGTTAATGTCTTACTATTCTACACAGTGTTTGCTTTCCCATGGGGAGGTTTATTATTTTACTGTATTTGGAGAAATAAGAAGTTTAGGCGTATAGTGATGATTTTAAGTGTTAAGTCTTCTTTTTTAGCCTGCCTGCATATAGAGCAAGAGTTCGACTTTTCAGGAGATTTGTCAACCATTATTTTGCATTTGGAGAGGATGAATATAAAATAAATTGTTATTATTTAATATTAATTGAGTAGCAAGTCCAGGTTGCTGACTGTTCATATTATCATCCACCCTTGACTGAAAAGGGCCGTCTATGATAGTCTGCCTTATGCTACCGTAAAGGGAAGAGAAAACCTTGTGATTGACAGCCACAGAGGCTTAGCACTGTGGATAGGATCAGAGCTTCCATTATGGCTTGCAAGAATCAGTTGATATTGATAATGAGAGACTGATGTGAATGCCTTCTGTCCTCAGACACTCATTACCTAGATTTAAAGAAAGTTTTATATTAGCTTCATAAATATGTAAGGCCTAAAATTTTTTTTTGCCTGTTTATTGTTACCATTTTAAAATTACTCCTGACTGTTTGTTAGCACTACTATCAAGTATTTGCCTGTAGGCTTCAACCACGGAGCCAGTAAAGAGATCCAAGGAAAGACGGTTTTCCTTGCTGCAGCACTATACCTTTATTCATCCTGCATATCCCCGTCTCCTGTTCCTGTACCCACAGCGAAGCTGCTGCCCATGCTGTCGCCACCCTGGCGGAGGCCACCTTACAAGGAGGGGGACAGATCGTCCTGTCTGGAGAAACCGCAGCAGCTGTCGGAGCACTTACTGGAGTCCAAGATGCTAATGGTAAGAGAGCATAAATATTTTATTGAATTTCTTCCCTGTTTCCACTTAAATCTTCCTGGCTTGGCTGGCAACAAACCCTTCAGAAAGAAGTTGAACCTGGTTGGAATTTTTCTTCATCGGTAGTGTTCGATACCTAGGAAAATTCTAGGGGCATCTAATTCCCTTCACTAGAAAGAGGCTTGAGGTTTCCTGAAGGAAAATGCCATGCTAATGGCTACCTAATTGAAGACTTCTTTAGAAAGTGGTAATTTTGCTGTGACAAGACTTGCTGAGAGGCACTTTAGACTTTGCTGCAGGGCACATTTTGTCCTTTACCCTCCTGTAGGGCAGGGTAGATCAGTGCCTGTGGCTGCAGCAGACTCTCCTGTTGGTGGGTGGAAGGTTTGGACTCCCTCCAGAAAGGCACCACCTCCCACCTGTCCCCAGGGTCAGGCAGCAGGCTGCGATGAAGGTGCTTTTCTGGTAGGTCCTGTGGGCTCTGCTTCCTGTTGTTTGTGGCCTCACTGAGGACATCTGGATTTAGCCAGTAACATGCCACCACCCTGCCCTTCTTTCCCAGCTCTTTGACTTCCTGGATATTGGTGAATATCCCGATAAACAAAAGGGATAAAGTTCATAGAAATATGGTGGCAAAAACTTACAACTCCAACCCAGCTCTTTGGATCCACTTCAGCAGGCTCTTGGAGTCAGTGGCCAAGAATTGGGCTGCCCGGGGAAGTACCTCAGAAGTCTGGGTCACAGAGGAGGACCATCCCTGATCTGTGAGACTCTGTGTGATTTTTCTTATATATATAATTAAGCAGGACAAATTAAGTGCTCTGTGGTTGGGGGGAATTGTAGCTTTTTACATACTGGAAAGTGGATAAATAAAAAATATACTGTTAGTTAGGCCAAAGTTCCTTAATGGCGTTAGTGTCTGAAAGGGACATTTCTAGCCCCCGCCCCTTTTATGGTAGGTCCTGAAGGACTAAATACCCTGCTAGTTGGGAAAGTCTTTGAAGGAAAACACAACGCTGTGCCCTCCTTTGGAAGTAGAAGGAAAGAAAGTTCTTCTGTTCCCCTAGAGAATAACATAGTAAATGCAGAGCAATTATGACTTCTGAGAATCATTCTCTTTTAAAAAAAAAAAAATTCCAGTACTACAACTACTGCTTTTTCTTTGGGGCTAGGAGCTTTCTTGAACTAACCTAAATGGAGATACAGGGTAGCTAGGCATGGCGGTACACGCCTGAAATCCCAGCACTTGGGAGGCTGAAGCAGGAGGATCACCCCTAGTTCAAGTTCAAGGCCAGCCTGAACAATGTAGCAAGACTCTATCTCCAAAAAAATAAAATAAAATAAATGGAGATGGGGCTGATTTTAGCTACAATGCTGCAAGATAAAAGGCATCGTACAGCCATGTATATTTAGGGTAAAATGGACCATATATTGAATTAAAGAAAACTTCCCACTGTGGTTAGAATCCCTATTTCCATACTGTTCTCCATTCCTCATCTGAGTCCTAATCTACCCTCAACAGAAGGTTAAACTATCTTTCTATGTGACATTCTTTTGAAGTTTGATTGCTGTTACTCCAGTGGAACTGCTAAAAGTAGTCCTTTGTGGGTTTGGCAGGAGACTTTGTTACCCATTCTAATCAAGTACCTGTTCAGGTGAGAACAGATGCTTTATATTTTTGGCTCCTCCCAGCCTCACCTTTTCAAATGGATGTATTTGTTGGTAAGTTTAAGGACCATCTGGGTATCCAGCCAAGTAGACCTATTCAGCCATACAATGAAGTTGAACCACACCCACTGCTATTGATTACTGGGAGCTACCTCTTTTCAGTAGCCTTGGGTTATGTGAACCAGTTATTGCTGGATTTCATATTGTTGGCTGCATTTGTGATAAGAGAAATTTCTGGTCTGCATCCTAAAAGTCCATAGTTCTAGCTGAGCGTGGTGATACATGCCTGTAAGTCCCAGATACTTAGAAGGCTGAGGTTGGAGGATCATTAAATCTGCAAATGTAAGATCAGCCTGGAAAGCAGACCAAGACCCCATCTCAAAAAAAAAAAAAAAAAAAAAACAAACCCAGTGGCTCCCCTGAAGCAGGTCATCCTGTTTGTGTACCCCTATACTTGCTGAACTCAGGCCTTGAAAGTTAAACTTCTTCTTTCTCAGTGTGGCTTCTCTGCCTCAAAACAGATTGATGTCTTGTGTATCTCATCCTAGCAACTTTACACAAGGGCCAATCATCTCTCTCCTTGGGAAGCCAGGGGATAAAGCTAATATTGGAGATGATCCACATAACACTGATATTCCTTCTGTTTTGTGACATTTTCACCCATAGGGCTACAGGATTTACTCTGGGACTAGCCTGGATTTTCCTACTTCACCAGCTAACTTGTTATCTGGCTAGAATGTAAGGGTTTCTCTTTTCATCATTCTTTCCGCTCATCTTCGTCACTTGTGTAATGGCAAGCTTACAGCGTTTGCCAGTAAAATCAAGTTTGTTGTTAAAGTTTTTTACCTTTTTTCTTTTGGGAGTCTTTTTCTATCTCACTATTTTTGAAAACCTTTTCACATGTTAAGGATATAACCCCTTTGTTTTGCATGTTATAAATAGTTTTCCCCAGTTTATTTTTATTTCACTTCTGTGACCTTCATTTTTATTTCCCTAATTATTTGTCCATTGCTTTTATGTTTAATGGATAGCGTCTGTCCTCAAAATTAGACTATTTTTTTCTAATTTTAATATGGTCTTTCTATTTTGAATATTGTAAAATTTATTTTAATGTATAGAATTATATAGAACTTTAAATTGGTATTTTCTACATAGCCTAGTTTTCCAAGCATCATTTTTTTCTTTTAAAAAGCTTGAAATCCATCCTTTCTATACTTACATGAAATACCATCATCATATACAAAATTCTTTTTTTTTTTTTTGAACTGGGAGTCAAACTCAGGACCTCCCACTTGCCGGGCAGGCGCTATACTGCTGAGCTATATCCTCAGCTGCAAAATTCTTAAATAGGGTGTGTAGGATCTCGTGGGGGAACACTTCTATTTCCATTTATGTTTGCCTTATTCTTTGTACCAAAATTTTTAAGTCATTGTGGTATTAGCAGTAACAGTTAAGGGCCAATCTTTATATTTGGAAGAAAAACAATCATTGAAAATTCCAAAGAATGTTCTGGAGGAGTGAATATTATACTACCCTGGACCTTATTTTCATGTTTCTTATCCTCACGAGTTTTTTAGTGGCACTCCCTGTGCCGTTATGGCTAAGATCTGGGGTCTCAACCTACTGACCTTGAGCCCTGGATGAAGGAAAATGGACTGCAGAGCTGTTTAAAAATTAAAGCCAATGATGAGGCATTAACACTACACTTACAGAAGGAGCAGCTCTTCTCATTTATCTTCAGGGTTGCAGTGTTTCTTTGTTCAGGCCTGGCCTGGACAAGAGTCAGGATTCTTCAGTGAGACAGAGACAGAGAGAGAGAGAGAGAGACCCCTCAGTCTTGCTGAACAGCAGAACAAAGTACATTTTACTGCCCACCCCACTGCCAAATCAAACTATATCAATTTTTAAACATCCTTAGGAAAAAAATTCCCTGTCTACTCTTAACACTAAATGTCTTTTTTTTTCCCATCCCTGTTTGTCTTTGGCCTTACTGAAAACTTTAAACAATATGTGTTTCTCCACTTGAATTCACTCTCAACTATACTTGATGGAGTAGCTTGTTAAAAATGGGTCCTTTAGTGGGTATAGTGCTACGTGCTTGTAACCCCAGCGTGCAGGAGGCTAAGATGGGAGGACTGAGAGTTCAAGGCCGGGGCTGGGGATTTAGTTCAGCGGCACAGCACCTGCCTGGCAAGCGCAAGATCGCGAGTTCGATTCCTGGTACCAGAAACAAACAAACAAACAAACAAAAAAAGAATATTAAGAGGGGCCAGGGATATAGCTCAGCAGCTCAGTGCCTGCCTGGCAAGTGTAAGGTCCTGAGTTCAATTCCCGGTACAGGAAAAAAGAATATTAGGGCATCCTTAGCCTAAATGTATGTAGGCACTTGAGATACTCTATATAAAATTACTTGTATTTTCCTGGGATCTATAGCTTTGATCAGATGTTAATTAGATCAGTGGTACTCCGGAGACTTAGCAATCTGTGCTATAGAAAGGGGGTTGGAAGAGGTAGCAACGCGGCTCAGTGGGAGAGCATGTGCTTTGCATGAGCCAGGCTCTGGGCTCGATCCCCGGCACCAGGGGGAAAAGGTTGTGATGGTCATTTCACACTGTGGGCATCTATTTTTTGTGGCTGGCTGTTCTCAGGCAGCAAGAGGAGGAGGAGGGAGATGGGTGGGCCTGCAAGAGCTCAGTGCTCCTCTACCTGCACCTCTAATGACCTCTGTGATCATGGACAGACAAATTAACCTCTCTAAGCCTTAGCTATGAAATTAGGATAATGATAGTCCATACTCCTAAGGTGTGGGGAGCATTGAACAAGATGATTCCTGTCAGGGCTTAGCGTAGTGCCAGACACATAAATGTGTTGTGAACAAGAAATTTTCAATAGCTGTCAATGTCTGTCTTGCTCCATCGATCTTCATAGTAGGTAAAAGCATATGAGTGCACAGTACTGTAGTAGGCCCTGCTTTCCCACCCTTCAGACAGCTCCATCTGCTTACCTTTGCCACTGAAGGAATTATGCTCCAGAGGTAGAGGCTGTAAACAATGAGAATAGGGAGCTAGATGTGGTAGTGCCCGCCTGTAGTCCCAGCACTAGAGAGGCAGGAGGATTGCCAAGAGTTGAGGACGGCCTGGGTTATATAGTGAGTTTATGGCCAGCCTGAACTACATAGCAGGCCACCCCCCACAAAAAATTTTTTAAATGAGGCCAGGTCAGAGGCCTTTTCAGTTGACTGAGGGAAGTACAAAGTGACATTGCTTAGAGGCTCCTTCTTTACGTTTTGTCGTTATCCTCACCTGAGCCTGCTCTTCTCCTCCAGTATATAGTTT